AAAGAGCAATGAACTATTGAAAAGCTTTCTGCCAAGTGAAAGAAGCCAGACATAGCATGTATTGTAGGATTCCATTTATATGGAAATTCTTGAAGAAACAAATCTACAATGACAAAAAACAGATCAGAGATCACAGGGCTTGGGTTGGGGGATGAGAATGTAGTTTGGGGACATTATCTGCAAAGGGGAACAAGTAAGGTTTTGGGGGAGATGGAAATTAAAAAATTTTTTGATTGGGGTGCTGGTTAAACAGATAAACACATTTGTCAAAACTCACTGAGCATTATGCTAAGTGAAATAAATGAGATACAAAAGTAGAAATATTATGATTCCACTTACTTGAAGTACCTAGAATAGTCAAATTCATAGAGACAAAGTATTAAGTTATTAAGTATAAAATGTCCCATTTCCTTAAGTACTAAGTTTGACAGTTGCTATCTCTGACATTTCACTTTGACGCTTTTTGTTTTATTTTTATTGTGAAGGTACATCCTCAGTCTTTCAAACACACTTCTTGGCTTGTGATTATCTTTCAAAATTTTTTTGGAGCAAGTCAAAATTTCATGTTATTTTCCAATATGAGTTCCATCGTGGAACCAATGCCACAGACAGCTCGAAATATCAATGCAGTGTGTGGGAAGGATGTGGCTAATGAACGCACACTATGCATTGATGGTTTGAGAAGTTCTGTTCTGGTGATTTTAATGTTGAAAATGAGCCACGTGGGTGACCTGAGAGGAAGGTGGATAATGATGAACTGAAAGCTGGAGTGGAAGTGAATCCATCTCAACCTATGCCTGAATTGGCAGCAAGGTTTGACATTACTCTTCCAACAATACTGGACCATTTAAAACAAATTGGCAAGGTAAAGAAGCTGGATAGATGGGTTCCGCATGAATTAAATGAGCACCGTAAGGGAAATCATCTGGAAGCTTGCCTTTCTTTGCTGTCATGACATAAAGGAGCAACATTTCTACACAACATTGTTACTTTGGGATGAAAAATGGATGCTTTTTGACAATTGCAAGCATTCAGCACAATGGTTTGATAAAGATAAAGTGCTGAAACACAGTCCCAAACCGAATATTCATCAAAAAAAGCTAATGGTGTTTGTACCAGAGGCTGGGGGCGAGGGGGTAATGGGGAGTTCTTGTTTAATGGGTACAGGGTTTCAGTTTTTGGGATGATGAAGACGTTCTGGAGATAGATAGACTCATGGTTGCACATAATGTGATGTACTTAATGCCACTGAACTGTATACTTGAAAATGGTTATAATGATACCTTTTATATTTTTACCACAATAAAAAAAATCGAAAACACAAAACTCATCACCACTGTACGCTTTAAGTGGGTACCTTTTTATTGGGTGGGAGTTATACCTCAGTAAAGTTGATTTTTAAAAGTCTCCCAGGAGGAACCGGGAGTGGTGGCTCACACCTGTAATCCTAGCACTCTGGGAGGCCGAGGCGGGAGGATCGCTCAAGGTTAGGAGTTCGAGACCAGCCTGAGCAAGAGCGAGACCCTGTCTCTACTAAAAATAGAAATAAATTAATTGGCCAACTAAAAATATATAGAAAAAATTAGCTGGGCATGGTGGCGCATGCCTGTGGTTCCAGCTACTAGGGAGGCTGAGGCAGGAGGATCCCTTGAGCCCAGGAGTTTGAGGTTGCTGTGAGCTAGGCTGACGCCACAGCACTCTAGCCCAGGCAACAAAGTGAGACTCTGTCTCAAAAAAAAAAAAAGTCTCCCTTGCCTTGGTCCTGCCTTGCTCTTTCTGAACTGTGGGAGCTTACCGGTGGCAGCCTGCGGTGGTTGGGAGAGTGAGCCCTGTCATCAGACAGGCCCCGGACTTCAGGCCTACTTCTGCCACTTACTAGCGTCCTAAGCCGCACGGGAGGTCTGTTTGACCGTATGTAAGCCGTCACGATGACGGGACCAACCTCGAGTTAAGGATGAAATGAGGCGACACATCTGAAGGGCTAAGGATGACGACAGCACCGTCAGAAGAGGGAAGGTGCCCAGGGCCCGGCGGCGGCGGGGCTCCGGGAGGCGCGCGCTGGCCGCGAGGTGGCGCCGCGGGCCCGCTCCGTCCGGACGCGGCTGGCGCGCACTGCGGCGCCGCCCGCTGAGTCCCAGACCTCGGGAGACCGTTTCCCAGGATCGCACCCTCCCGCGGCGGGATTTCGGGCGGCAGGGGGAGAGGAGGGGCCTCTGCCTGTGCGCCTGTCTCAGACCAGGACGTGGCGGTCGGTGCCCGGGTTGGGCAGCACCGGAAGGTGCCCTGCTCGGGCCATCTCATTGATTCTGCTCCATAACCCCACTTTGCAGACAAGACAACTGAGGCACGACAGGTTAAATGACCCGGGCCGCACAGCGAGTGGAAGCCCAGGGGGACTCGGGCCCAGCGCCCCTGCTCTGACCTCTCCTCCTCGTCCCCTCTCGGCCCCGGCCCAGGCTGCGGAGAGTCGGCCCCGCGCTCGGCCTCTGTGATCCCACCCCCAGCACAGTTTTCCCTCCCGGCGCTCTGGATCTCTCCTCCCCCGGCTCCCGGTTTCCGTGTCAAAACTTCCTGCCTTGGCGAGGGCCCGAGTTCCCACCCCCTTCCTGCCCCCCGCCCCTCCGCGCCCCTCCCCGCCCTGCGATCCGCGCCGCCCGGCCTCCCCGCCGCCCGCGCAGTCGGGCTGGGGCTCTACGCCGGACCCGCGCCCGGCCCTCCGCCGCCCCAGCGGTCCCCAAGCCCAGGCCGGAGGAGAGACAGGCCCCCACCCCAGGCAGGTGAGCGACTGCGCGCCCCCGCGGAGAGGCCCGGGTGGTGGGCCCGAAGAGCACCCTGCCCGGGGAAAGGGTGTGCGGACCCTGAGGCCCCCTCCTCCTCCACTGGAGCCCGAGACCCCTGGGTGAGGAGCAGGGCAGAGAGGGACAGGCGAAGAGAGACGAGAAGGAGGGGAAGGGGACAGATGAGGGGTGCATCTGTAATGGAACATGAACTTGAAGCGCTAAGGAGGCTGTGCCTCAGCGCCTGGGGGTTCGCTCCGAGAGTCCAGTGTCCCTCTGCCCTCTCTGCTGGCGCAAGAAGAGGGTACCTGGCTCCGCTCCTTTGCTCAAGGGAAAGGGGCTCACAGCACCGGCCTTAGAGTCAAGATTGCCTTACTAGCTGTAGGGCTTTGGTCAGGAGATTTAATCTCTGTGCCTCAGTTTCTCATTTCTAAAGGAAAATAACATAACACAGGGCCCCGCTCATGGGGTTGTTGTGAGGCTTAGAGGAGCAAACGTGTCTCCTGCTTTGGACAGTGCCCGCTCAGGCGTTATCGTCAGTACTGTCCCTCTCCCCACCAGGGAGGAATGTGTGACGGAGGAGGTGGGGACGGCACCCAGGTGTGCTGGCCTGGCTCTCACCGACTGGAAGTGGGCTCCAGGTCTCAGGCACCTGGATCCTCAGGAAGCTCTGAGCCCTCATCGTGCCATTGCATTCCAGCTTGGGCAACAGAGCAAGGCCCTCTCTCTAAAAACATAAAAAGTAAAAAAGAAAGAAAGAGAGAAAGAAAAGCTCCCAGAGTGGATGATCGGATCTAAGGTAGTGCTAAGAGCCAGGTGTGTGTGTTTGTGGGCGGCAGGTGGCGAGTGCCCAGGAGCCCAGGCCCAGCAATGCCACCCCTTACCCCCGCCCCCACCTCCAGCCTCCAGTAGCTGTCTCTCTGCTCCCCTGCTCTGGCCTTTTATGAGTGGCCTCTCCCGGGACTGGGCTGTGACCCCAGTCCCCGAGGACGGGAACAGCTTGTGCTGGCCCGAAGTTCCCAGGCTCAGCCAGGCCTCAGCTCCAGGCAGGATTGGGTAAGGGGTCTGCTCTCAACCCTGGCCTAAGCTGGGCCTTGTTGGGGGGAGCTGTTCTCTGAACCCCACCCCAGCCCAATCCATGCTGGAGTACCTGCCGTATGTGCTCATGAGCCAGGTTGTGGGCAGCTCTCGGGTCCCCTGTGTCTCCCCACTGCTGCTGCCTTTCCCTCCCACTCTGGGGTCTCCCAAGGTCTGCCCGCCATACTCCCCACTGCAGGTGGGGTGCCCTCCGGCTGCTGGGAGCTGGGTCCTCCAGGCTCGCCTCTCTGCCTTCCTCTCTCTCCAGTGGAAGGTGAAGCTGAGGGCGGGCATCTGTTTCTCCCCCTCTCTCTCCCCCCCCAACATTCCCTATCAGACTCTCTCAGAAGAGGAAACTTGCTTTCCAGGCAGCACCATCCACCAATCGGAAACCTGGAGAGAGATAGAGGTCACTGGGCTGCTGTGTGCGGCCCTCCACCCAACTCACACTGGGGAGGGGCCGAGGCCGGGTGGGCCTCCACCACCCTGCAGCCTCTCCTCTGAGAGCCTTGAGAGCCTTCAGAAGGAGCCTCCCGGGACTCCGAGGGGCCCTGGTGCCCCATCCCAGCTCTGGGGAGGGTGTCAGTTCCTGGGGGGAACCTAACCTATGGGGGAGAAGCCAGCAGGAAGTAGAAGAGAAGGCAGAGAAGGAGAGAGAGAAAGACAAAGACAGAGAAGGAGACAGACAAAAATACCGAAACAGAGACTGACAGATGCAGAGACAGGAGCAGAGGCATAGAAACAACAAGGCCCAGAGGGAAAACAGGCAGACTTAGAAAACTAGGCAGGGTGCAGTGGCTCATGCTTGTAATCCTAGCACTTTGGGAGGCCAAGGTGGGAAGATGGCTTGAGGCCTAGGGTTTGAGACCAGCCTGAGCAAGAGCAAGACGCCGTCTCTACAAAACAATAGAAAAATTAGCCGGGTGTGGTGGGTATGCTTGTATTGCCAGCTACTCGGGAGACTGAGGCAGGAGGATCCCTTGAACCCAGGAGTTTGAGGTTGCTGTGAGCTATGAGGACGACACTGCACTCTAGCCCAGGTGACAGAGCGAGACTCTGGAAAAAAGAAGAAAAGAAAGAAAGAAAGAGAGAGAGAGAGAGAGAGAGAGAGAGAGAGAGAAAGAGAGAAAGAGAGAAAGAGAGAAAGAAAGAAAGAAAGAGAAAAATAGAGTGGAGACTTAGAGATAGGACAAAAGGGAGGTGGAGACGGAGAGAGGCAGAAGACCAAACGGAAACCGTGGGGTAGCTCGGAGCCTGGCCGCCCCGGCTCAAATCCCTGCTCTGCCCTGGCCAGGCTGTGTAGCCTGGGGCAAGTTACTTAACCTTTCTGAGATATTCCTTCTGCAACAAAATGGGAGGCATAATAGCACCTACTGTATACACTTGCTGAGAGAACTACTAGAAAGGATCTAGCCCACAGGACACATTTAACAGGGGGTAGGAATTAGTAATTACAGCACCCACACTGGCAAGATGGCAGTCCTGAGAGAAAGAGCGCTGGGTGGCCCTGGGGCGCTGCCTGCCCACCTGCTGGTGGGTGCTCACGCTCTCCTGCTTCTGCCTCCCACCCCACCCCCATGCCGTGGCATCTGGGGCCCAGGCCCTCTGTGCAGCAGGAGGTGTGTGCAGTGGACAGGGGGCATGACCCTGGGCCAGGAGGCACAGAAGGAGGACGCAGGCCAGGCGGGCACACCCCTCCACCCTGTCGGTGACTCAGGGCCTTGCACTACTGTGCACTCATCCCATAGGAACGTGAAGGCCAGCCCCGAGGAATTCCCACGGGAGGTCAGGAGGGCAAGTTTGGAGCTGCCTTTTTGCTTTGTAACATCAGGAAGTTCCTTCTAAATTCCACCTTCCATCATTTCACCAATGACACACCTCATTGTGTCTTGAGGGCCCTGGGACAAGGGCCCAGTTCTGCTGTCTGGGAAGCTGGTGAGAAGCCACAGCTTAAGCATCTCTCCTCCCCCATGCCCGGAAAAGTAAGGTCAAGGCTTACTGGAGTTGGAAAGGATTTAGGGTGTATTGGTCCATCCACCCCACACGCACGGTCCGTTGCTGCCTGCGGGTGCCGGGCACCCTGGCGCCCGTGTGGCCCGTGCTGCAGATACGGTGGCGGGGAAGGCAGAGGAGTGCCCTGCCCTCCTGGCGCTGCAGTCCACCGGGGCAGACAGACCTTAATAAAACATAATGACTCGTAGGACGGGAGCTGCGAGGGAGCGTCCACTAACAGAGCCTCGGGGAAACGAGACTCACAGCGCAGCGGTCGCAGGGTAGGGGATCCATCAGCCTGGTCAGTCCGTCAGACGTGACGTATGCCAGAGGCTGTGACCTCCTGGTTTCCTGGGTTCGTCTCACTGCCCCAGAGGAGGCACACTAGTGCCAAGACTGTGCTGGGCTTTGGGGAAGTGTCGAGCCTCTGGAGACTGACGCACGCGCAGTTTGGAGCCAGCTGCAGGGCAGAGGTGGGAGAGAATACCCGGGTCTCTGTTGCACCGTGGGGGGGTCCGTGGTCACTGTGCTGACAGCCTGCAGGAAGGCCTTGAGGGCAGGGAGACGTGGGTGAGGCTTGCAGTGGGCCTCCTGGTAGAGGCTGGCCTGAGACTGGGGTGTTCTGGGCAGAGGGGGCGGTGTGGTGACAGGTGTGAGGGGCAGCAGCTGTCCAGTGTGATGGGAGCACAGAGTTGAGGCGGTGAGGCTGGACACCTGGGGAGGCTGGCCCCTGGGGACCCCTTCTTGTGCTATGGAGAGTCACAGAGGGTGGTAGAGAGGGGCAGTGGCCAGAGCAGGGCTGCACTTTCTGAGAGTAACCTATGGGTGATGGTGAGCAGGGTGGGCTGGAGGGGGACCTTCTCCTTAGCCCGTGTCACCCAGGGGTGAGGGTGACCCCCCACTGCTTTGTCCTTCAAGTAGGTTCTGATCCCACTATTGTCTTTGGTGGCCAGGCAGCCCTTGGGCAAGTCATTTTACCTGAGACCTTCCACTGTCTCACCTGCGAAACGGGGATAACAATGGCTAGCACCTTGCAGGATGGTGGCGAGGAACGGGACTGGTACGGGCGCCAGGCTCCAGTAGGTGGGCAGCAGGCGTCTGGTGAATCAGAATCCCTGCAGTTTCTCTATTTCCTGATGAGTAAACAGGTCGGACCTAGGACCCTCTAGCTTCTGTTTCCTGAGCCACAGAGAACACAAGGCCGGCCCCTCACCCCTGCCCCTTCCCGCCCAGCCTCTGGTGCACGCGCAGGCTTCCTGTCCCTCCATCCGGCAGACATGCCTGGCGTGCCGAGGGCCCGGCCTGGCTGGATGTAGGAGGGGCTCAGTGCCTGTGTGTGCAGTGTGTACATGTGTGTTCTGTGGAGAGGGAGGGGAACAGTTTTGGGACTGGGATCTCACTGCTGATCCTGTCTCAATGCAAAGATAGGTTAGGAAGGGGCACAGAGAAACAGACACAGAGATGGGGAGAGACACGGAAAGGCAAAAAGAGATACAGGGCAAAACAGCCTTAGAACCAAGTTAAGATGCATGCCTTGGTGAGTGGATCATGGCTGGAGTTCAGCTTCCACTCCCCACTTGAAGGTGGATGCCCTCGTGCAGTGAATGTTATGCACAACTGTACTGGGTAGCCTTGACATAGAAAAGGAAAGAGCAGGGCAGAAAGACAGAAACCAAGAAACCGATGGAGGAAGGAAAAAAGGGCAAATAGTTTCTGATGAAGAACAAAAGTCAAAAAGGAAGAGGCAGAAAGCCTGGAATGTGGGAGATTCTGATTCTGCACCAACATCCACTTAGCCGGCAATACTGTGATCCACAGTGGTTCCAACCCTCCCCAAACCCTGGAGATACTGGGGCCGGCGGGGGAGGGATTCTCCCATTTTACAGATGAGGAGATGGAGAATCAGAGGGCTCATGTGGTATATCTGAGGCCACACAGCTTGTAAGTGACAGAGACAGAAACTTTGGACTCCAAGATGGGAAGGGGGTGGGAGGAGAGAAAGAGAGAGAGAGAGAGAGTGAGAGAGAGAGAGAGAGAGAGAGAGAGAGAGAGAGAGAGAGAGAGAAAGGCTGAGCAGAGAGGAGGGGCAGTGGAACCAAGCAAGGAGCTGGAGTTGGTGCTCAGGCCAGGGGTTGGGGAATCCAGGCATCCTGCCTTGTCAACTGCCTCTGGCTTGAAGAAGTACCTGGCGGACAGCCCATCATTCTGGGGGATCAGGTTCTCCGGGGAGCCTGGCCCCCTCCCACCTCCACTTCCTTTCTCTCTGTCAGCATTTGCGGCCCCCATTCCCATTCCCGGATCATCCTGGGGGTTCTTCAGAAAAAACAAGAAACAGTTTTTCCTGGAATTAATACCCAAAGGGCATGACAGCGCCAAGGGGAGGGGGAGGGGGCCACCTTGGGTGCAGGAGGAGGAGTGGGACTGCCGGACCGTATTATGTGCAGACTCCAGGCACTTTATCTATATTAACTCATTTAGTCTGCACAACAACCCTACAAGGGAAGTACCGTCATCATCCCCATTTCATAGATGAGGGAATGGAGAGCTGGGGTTCACACCCAGGGCTGAACTTGGACAGCGCTGGGAGGTGCAGAGCTCAGGGGTTATCCTAAGCTGCTACTTCCCAGAGAAGCAGGAAGGGAGCTGGTGGGGAAGTCCCTCCTGCTGTCTCACTTCCATCACCCCCACTCTCACTCTGCGCTTTCTATAGAAATGGATCCTCTCCTGCCCACCAGGAACTCCAACGCCCCGCACACGCTCCCAGGGCCCCACATTCATGTCCCTCCTCCCAGGTGGGGCAGGGCACAGTGAGGGTAGAGTGGGCTCCGCACCAGGTGGAACTAGCCGAGCCGAGCTTGGAGAAGACCGGGGAGGCTGAGCGGGGCTAGGCCCTGTGTGGGCTTGGAGGCTGGGAGGGCTGGGGCTGTGCAGCGGGCCTGGGACCTCAGGGCCTGGCCGGGAGCCCAGCCCATTTGCATCTCGAGGTGGAGGAGAGAGAACTGTCAGCTCATTCTTGACTGTAAACACATCTCAGTTCCCACGGCTGCTGATCGTTTTCTTGTGGCAGCCCCCACCCCCAACCCCTTCTCCTGTCCAACCCCCTGCCAGCTCCCCCACCCCGGTAACTGAGGCTGTTCAAAAGAAGACGCAGAGCCACGGGCTTCCCGGTCTGCGCTCAGGAAAGACTGGAATCACTGGGAGGCCTCTGCCAGCAGCCTGGGTTGGGATCCCAGCTCTGATGCTACTGGCTGTGCAGCCTTTCTTACCCTCTCTGTGCCTGTTTCCTCATCTCTAACGTGGGCTCTAACGCCTACCACGATGGGTTGATGTAAGCTTTATTTTATTTATTTATTTTTTGAGACAGAGTCTCACTCTCTTGCCCAGGCTAGAGTGCTGTGGCGTCAGCCTAGCTCACAGCAACCTCAAACTCCTGGGCTCAAGCGATTCTCCTGCCTCACTCTCCCGAGTAGCTGGGACTACAGACATACACCACCATGCCCAGCTTATTTTTTCTATATATATTTTTAGTTGTCCAGATAATTTCTTTTCTATTTTTTTTAGTAGAAACGGGGGTCTAGCTCATTGCTCAGGCTGGTCTCGAACTCCTGAGCTCAAACGATCCACCCGCCTCGGCCTCACAGAGTGCTAGGATTACAGGCGTGAGCCACCGCGCCTGGCCGCTGTAACTTTCAGTGAACTGGTCAGTGTGAATCACTGGGCACCCCGCCTATCTGGACACAGTAAAGGACACATGGGGTCACATGATTTTTCTTGTCCTCAGGGAAGGTGTTTGGGTCTCGCAAACCAGAGGCTTAGAGGATATTTGAGCAGGGGGACAGGAGGGGCCTCTCTATGAGAAGGAGAAGCGAGCCTGCAGTGGGGGAGAGCAGGGGTCCCCCTCAGTGAGTGCGCTGTGGGCCCCCACTTGGAGCCCAATGCTGCAGAGACCGGGGGAGGCTGGGGGAGCATGGGCCAGGGACTCAGGCACCTGGGCACCTGAGGGATGAAAGAAGCTCAGATGGGAACATGCCTAGCAGGCCAGGCTGGGGCTCTGGGTTCCTGGTCCGGCCTGTGTTCCCTCCTCAGGGCTGAGAACAATCAGGCCAAACCCTTCCTCTCCCTGCCAAGGCCCCCACCCCACCTTTCTCCTCCCTACGGACCACCCACTGGTGTCCCCTGACCCCACCCTGGCTTCCAGCCCCTGGACTGGCCAGCTGATGCCTCCTCCGCACTGCAGCCCTACCCTGGAGGGCCTTTGGGAAAACAGAGCCTCCCCACCCCTCCGGCCAGCTAAGCTCCCCGCCAGCCAGCCAGAGCGGGGGATTAGTCACCTCCTCTCCTGCTCCTCCTCCTCCGCCAGGTCCATCTCAAAGCCCCCAGGTGGAGCCTTTCCTCTAGAGGGGCAGATAGGGACAGGGGCTACTAGTCAGGGGCTGTGAGTGGGAGGAAGGACTTTCTCTGGACCAAACAACAGCCCAATCTCCAGGGCACCTCCTCCTTGTGCCTTAACTCAAGTCCTATCCGCTACAGGTTTTTCCTTTTAGACTTTGATGTGTGAAGACTAAATCTGCTACAGGTTTTGTCTACCTCACGGTGCCGCGGGCTCTGGGGACAGATGCAGGGCAGAGGGGAGCCTGGGGAGCCCCTTTGTGGCTTGGGAGATGAGGCCCACCCAGGGACAAGGGTGACCCCCTGGCTGCAACAGACTGAGCTCCAGTCCGAGGAGCTCCCCGTGCCAGCGCCAGAGCTGGGGGGCAGGGAAGAGGGCAGCGTGGAGACAGAGAGAAAAAGTGGAGGTGTCTGGAGGGTTTGGGGGCTGCCCGTGGCCCTGGCTGCCACGCACACTCGAGGCAGAGGTGGGGAGAAGGGTAGCTGGGATCAGACAGGGCGACCCTGAGCCTGGGAAGATGGCTGGAGAAGGGCAGCGTGGGGGGTACAGTGTGGAGACAGTGTGAGGAGGAACTGGCTCTGAGAGTGGGGCGTGTGGGGCTGACGTGGGGGTGGTGCACTGGCACAGACTCCGGGGGGCATCTGAAGTGCACTTTTTTTTTGAGTCTCACTTTGTTGCCCAGGCTAGAGTGAGTGCCGTGGCGTCAGCCTAGCTCACAGCAACCTCAAACTCCTGGGCTCAAGAGATCCTACTTCCTCAGCCTCCCTAGTAGCTGGGACTATAGGCATGTGCCACCATGCCCGGTTGATTTTTTCTATATATATTAGTTGGCCAATTAATTTCTTTCTATTTATAGTAGAGACAGGGTCTCCCTCTTGCTCAGGCTGGTTTCGAACTCCTGACCTTGGGCAATCCGCCCGCCTCGGCCTCCCAGAGTGTTAGGATTACAGGCGTGAGCCACTGCACCCGGCCTCTAGTGCACTCTTGACTGTGGCCTCTGTCCCTTGTGGTGGGCCATGGTGTCAGCTCAGGAGACAAGCAGCCATGAAGGCTTCTGGCCCTGCCCCTGCCCCCGCATCCTATCCACTGTGTCCAGGGTGGTGGGAGGACAGCCATGCTCCCTGCTGCCGCCCCATCCTAGCCAGGCTCCGTTTCCTGTTTTCAGGCTCCATATCCTGAGCACCAGGATCCCCCAGGACATCCTCTGGCCCTCAGGCCCCAGGGCTCAGCACTGAGCTGCCACAGGCCCCACCTGGTGAGTTACCTGGGGCCTGAGGATGGACAGGAGGACGCACAGAGGAGGCCAGAGGCAGAGATCTGCCCTGCCAGAGGTGCTGGCCTGGAGGTGGTGGGAGACACTTGCAAGGGGAGGACAGGGGACCAGCCCCGCGGAAAGGGTGGTTTGGCTGCTGGGGGGTTAAAGGTGGAGCTGGGGGTAAGTTAGGGCGCAGACCTGGAGGGAAGGAGGGGCCGCCCTGATTGGAGCTGAGCGGGCTGTGGGGACCCTGGGAGTGTGTGGGCGGGCGAGTGGGGTGGGGCCAGGCGGCAGCATTCCAGAGATACTCAGGGGGTAAGGGGCCAGCAACCACGACCTTTCTCTCTTCTCAGAAAAATTATAAACAGATGTGGACGCCCCAGGGGGGTAGAGCAGGGAGCCGGGGAAACTTTAGGAACAGGGAACAGAACCTGAAACCGGTCACAGGGCTGGCACTCGGAGCTCAGCCTCTCCTGAGCTCTAGAGCTGCGAGAAGAGACTCATCTGCAGCCCTGGTCCTCACCTTCCCACACACCTGTTGAGGCCAGGGGTGGCAGAGATGGAGAGGAGCCATTTCTGTAGGGCAGTGGGAGCTTTTCCTTAAATCCAAGTCCAGACTGAGACCTCTTCAGTGATAGCACCTAGAGTTGGTGCTGCCACAGTGGTGTGCTGGCGGATGTTTAACAACCAGCTCTGGGGGGGGGGTGTTGGCTGTGGATTGTAGGGTTTGCCAGTTTCTGTGGTGTAAACACTCCCCTCCCACACACACCCCATGCCTGATTTCGAGCTACTCACGTGACATCATTAACCACAAAGTTGGGAAGAAATGTGCACAGCTGGCTCTCTGAGCCCATGTGGGTTGGCTCTAGCACACCAGTGGTTGGGAGGTCTATGGGACCCAGCCCCACTCCCACCTCACATAGCAGGAAACACCTACCTGCATTCCATCATGTTGGTTTTGGTTTCTCCTTGCATACATCCAGTGATGGGGAGCTCACCACCTGACGTAGCAGATTCCATTACTGAACTTCTCTGACTGTTGGAAAGTCCTTCCTCTGACTGAGCCCAGGTCTGCTTCCCTCATAACTTCTCCTCACTGGTTCCAGTTTCACAGCGAGGTACAAATACCAAAGTGCCCTGGGTCGAGGGTGGGCTGGGGATTCAGAGACAAAGGCCACTGGGTCCCTGCCTCTGGAGGTCATGGTCAGGGAACGGGCACTAGAACAGTGGTGCTGGGGGGGGGCCCAGAAGGAAGCGGGGGAGGCAGCCTGCCAATGGGGGTCAGGGGGCAGAGCACGGTAGAAGGGGTGGCACTTGAGTTTGGCCTTGAAAGACGAGGACTCCAGTGAAGAATGAGGGGTGAGCAAAGACCGGAGGGTTGGAAGTGCACCGGCACCGCCTGTTCAGGGTGAGCTCTGGGAGAGCTGCAGCCCAGGCGCATGGGGCAGGGGACTGGAGGCAGCAGCCTCGTCTCCTCTGTGTGCCCACCCATGTGCAGACCTCTGCAGCCGGGTCCTCAGGCTGCCGCCACCTCAGCGTCCCCCCACTGCTTGCTCTGCATGTGGCCGGTGCAGGCCTCTACAATGTCGCCACCTCTGCGTCCCCTCCTTCTCCTGGCCCTGGGCCTGGGGCTGGCTGGAACTCTCAACCCCAAGGATCCCAATGCCTGCAGCTTCTGGGAAAGGTGAGAGAGCCCCTGCCACCCCGATTCGCCCTGCTGGGGCTCCTCCTCTCGTTCCTTCCTTGCCTCTCCTCTCCCTCCTATTTCCCTGACTGCATCGCCATCTCTGGCCCTGTTGCGCTCTCTGTCCTGTCTCCATCCCCGGCCCTTGGTCCCTGTGGGAGGCCGGCTGCAGAATAGCACAGGGTGGGAGCCAGCAGGGGGCTGGCCCTGGGAGCAGAGGGGACAGGGTTGGGAAACCAGACCCAGGGCAGAATTTAGACAGAAATGCTTCAGCCCGTCCCCATCCACTGGGCCCAGAAGTAAGTTCTAGCTCAGTCTTCCCATGCAGGGAGGGGGCGGAGAGGAAAATGGAAGGCTCTGGTCCAACAGGGAAGAAGGGGGCTCTGATGGGGGGTGTCCCAGGAACGTTCCAATTCTGGGAGAAGCCCTCTGGACTTGAGCGTTGGGGCAGGATGGGAGCCCTGCCCTAGACTTGGGGGAGCAAGCCCAAATGTTGGGATGCTGAGTCCCCACTGTGGCCCACCCCTCATGCCCCTGCTTCCCTCCGCCATGCCCTGAGCCAGCTCAGGCCTCCCCGCGCTTGCTGCTGACCGATTCCCTGCCTTGCAGCTTCACCACCACCACCAAGGAGTCCCACTCCCGCCCCTTCAGCCTCTTCCCCTCGGAGCCCTGCGACAGGCCCTGGGAGGGCCCCCATGCCTGTCCCCAGCCCACGTGAGTGCCCCTCCCCTCCACGGGCAGATGGGCTGCTGGAGTCGCTGCCTCAGCCCGGCCTGTCTCAGAACCTTTAGGGTTTAGAGGAAAGTTCCGGCCTCGAGGACTCATGCCCACCGTGGTGCGTGTGTGGTTTGTGCGGGGCAGTGTGTGTGGACGCATGTGCGTCTGGGGTGTGCCTGGTGGCGCACTATATGCGTGTGTATAGCCAGGAGGGAATACTCTTTGCTCCCCAAGCCCGGAGCGCTGGGCACTCCCCACGCCCTGGCCTCCCCGTGCCTCACTGCTGTGAGGGCTGAGGACAGCGGGGGCTCAGCGGGAAGGACTGAGGGCCACCTTCCTGGCCTCCCCAGGGTTGTCTACCGCACCGTGTACCACCAGGTGGTGAAGACGGACCACCGCCAGCGCTTGCAGTGCTGCCAGGGCTTCTACGAGAGCAGCGGGGCCTGCGTCCGTGAGTCCGGTGTTGGGCCAGGGAGGAGTGGGGAGTGGAATGGGGGGCTTAGCTCACCCTTCTGGGTCCTCCCCTGCTCCCACCAGGGTGGGGCCATTCCTCTGCCCCTTCGGACTTTCTCCCCTCTTCCCCTCCCCCTGGTCTGGTCCTCAGGGTCTCAGCACTTCCCTCTCCATTGCCGCTCCATACCCCTGTCTCCAGCTGGCCCCATGATTGTCCCATCCCGTCTGTCCATGACCCTTAGAAGTCTTTGTCTCTGTATCTCTCTTTCTCAGAGCTCTGATTCTGTCTCTGTTACTGTGTGTCTTAGGAATTGGCATCTAGGTCCATCTCCGTCTCTTCCTGTCCCTGCCTCTCTGTTGTTATGTCTCTGACTTGTCACTGTCTAGTCTCACTGCCCACCTAGCACCCTGTAACCCCCCAGGCCCCTGCCCATCCTTAGCCTCTGCAGACACTCCTTTCCAGCCGGCCCAGCCCCTGGCCCTCAGCCCCTACCCTCTCTCTGGACAGCATCCATGTCTGGCCCCTGCCTGAGGATCTCCCCTACCCAACGCCATTTTCCCGACATGGTGCTTAGAGGATTTCACAGAAAGGGGCTGAGGAGCCTGGAACCCTGGCATCTTGTCAAGCTCTGACCCTGAGTTGCCTGTCAGTCTTTCTTTATCTGAGGCAGAACAGGTGCTTGGAGAACTCCAAGTCCCTGGTGTGGGAAGAAGATGGGGTTAGACGTCACAGGAGGAAAGGTGGGTAGGGGCAGGGTGGACGCATCGCCTCATGCACACCCATCTCTGCCCTAGCGCTCTGTGCCCAGGAATGTGTCCATGGCCGCTGTGTGGCGCCCAATCAGTGCCAGTGTGTGCCGGGCTGGCGGGGTGATGACTGCTCCAGTGGTGAGTGGCTGGTGACTCCAGGGAGTGGCCTCTTGTGCCTTTAGGGACACAGGACACAGAGGCACACCCTGCCTACCAGGGCACAGGTGCTTAGGACCCCAGGGCAATGACCACCAGAGCCCCATTGCAGCTGACTGCGTTTTCTGGAGATGGGGAAGAGAGAATGGGTGTGTCGGGGCTGAGAGACAGAGACAGGAACTAACTGGAGTCTGGTGAGGGGCTAGACTCCTGGTGACCCCCTTCCACCCTCCTTGTCCCACAGAGTGTGCCCCAGGAGTGTGGGGGCCACGGTGTGACAAGCCCTGCAGCTGCGGCAACAGCAGCTCCTGTGATCCCAAGACTGGGGTATGTTCTTGCCCCACTGGCCTGCAGCCCCCGCACTGCCTTCAGCCTTGCAGCCCTGGCCACTACGGCCCTGCCTGCAAGTTCAGCTGCCAGTGCCACGGGGCACCCTGCGATCCCCAGACTGGAGCCTGCTTCTGCCCCCCAGAGAGAACTGGGCCCAGGTGCGTATGCGGGGCCCATTAACACATTAATGAGGCTGCAGCCACAGGGCCACACAGACATAACATAGGGAAATGAGGTGACTCAGGGTCCCAAACATGGGGATGATGTCTAGAGCCCAAGATCCTAGTCTGAGCTCCGCCACTCTGCAGTGGAGTGACCTTAAGCAAATCAGTGACTCTTCATGAGCTTGTTTCCTGTCTGTAAAGTGGGCATAGTGCTGTCTGCTGGAAGGGTTGCTGTGAAGATAACATGAGATAGCATGTGTGTGAAAGCATGTTGTAAGGGGAGGCTGAGACAAGGGCCCAGAGAACCCTGTTGCGAGGCAGGATGCAGGGAGAGCAGGGTGTCGCAGGAGGGAGAAGGAGCATCCTGGTGGAAATCAGGGTCAAGCTTCAAGGAGGAGTTCCTGGAGTTGAGCCCTCTGGAAAAACGACAGTAGGCATAGGGGTTCCCCGAGGGAACAGCCTGAGCAAAGGTGAGGAGGCAGAGCCCTGGGGCATGAGAAGCTGACATGCCACCAGTGGCTCTTTGCTCTCCCCCACCTGCTGGTGCTGTGGTGTCCCTGCATGTCCAGTCCTGGAAACCTTTGCTTTCTGACTCCTGAAGTCCCCAGTGGGGAAGGGCAGGTGTAACTCACTAAGTCCTGAGGTCAGGGGCCAGCCCTTGGAGGGTAGGGGATGCGGGAAGACAGGTAGTACTTGTTTACACACTGACCTCACCCGCTCTGTCCAGCAGCTGTGATGTGTCCTGTTTCCAGGACACTGCTGGCTTCTTATGCCCCAGCACCGATCCTTGCCAAAACGGAGGTGTCTTCCAGGTCCCCCAGGGCCCCTGCAGCTGCCCACCTGGCTGGATGGTATGAGTGGGGGGTCTGAGGGTATGGGGTGTGAGTCCGAGAATTCTGTGGATGGTTCTAAACAGGGCTCCAAGGACGATGTGTGTGAGGGGGGTAGGCTCTGCGGGTATGGGGGTGTCAACGGGTCCTGTGGGCATGGGGAGGGGGCTGGGTGCCTGGGGCTCTGTCAACCTGTCACTCCCACAGGGCACCATCTGCTCCCTGCCATGCCCAGAGGGTTTCCATGGGCCCAACTGCTCCCAGGAATGTCGCTGCCACAACGGGGGCCTCTGCGAGCGATTCACTGGGCAGTGCCGCTGCGCTCCGGGCTACACCGGGGATCGGTGAGTGGCGGAGGCGCGGGCAGGAGCGGTGGGAGGCGGGCCGGAGGAGGTGGCCCGCCGCCGGACTCACTCAGCTAGGCGCCCAGGTGCCGCGAGGAGTGCCCAGTGGGCCGCTTCGGGCAGGACTGTGCTGAGACGTGCGACTGCGCCCCCGGCGCCCGCTGCTTCCCGGCCAACGGTGCGTGTCTGTGCGAACACGGCTTCACCGGGGACCGCTGCGCCGAGCGCCTCTGCCCTGACGGCCTCTACGGCCTTGGCTGCCAGGCGTCCTGCACCTGCGACCCGGAGCACAGCCTCAGGTGGGCCGCGGGACACGTGGTCAAGGGTTCGGGAGGCCAATGGGAGAGGTCTTGGGGGCTGAAGCCGCCGGAGTCATGAAAAGCGCCAGGGGCATGTCCAAGCGCCCTCATGTCACAGAAGAGAAAACCGAGGGTCCTTAGGGGCGCGGAGGGGCCCTAGGTCCTGGCACTTGTCCCAACTCAGAGCCTCCTTGGTGGCCCCCTTACTCCGGCGATGCCCCGGCTCCCACCAAGCTCAGGGGTTGGGGAGGCCGGCCTGCTGGGCCCCAGCTCAGCCCGCACCGCGCCCCTGACTCCGCCCGCAGCTGCCACCCGATGAACGGGGAGTGCTCGTGCCTGCCGGGCTGGGCGGGCCTCCACTGCAACGAGAGCTGCCCGCAGGACACGCACGGGCCGGGGTGCCAGGAGCACTGTCTCTGCCTGCACGGCGGCGTCTGCCAGGCCGACAGCGGCCTCTGCCGGTGCGCGCCCGGCTACACGGTGAGGCGCGCCCCGCTGCGAGGAAGCGGCGGGGAAGGGGGTGAGGGCTGGGGGGTGTGGCAGAGGCCGAGGAGCGGACCCGCCTCGCTCACTGGTCCACCCACCCGCTTTCAGGGCCCTCACTGCGCTAGCCTCTGTCCCCCCGACACTTACGGTGTCAACTGTTCAGCTCGCTGCTCATGCGAAAATGCCATCGCCTGCTCCCCCATCGACGGCGCGTGCATCTGCAAGGAAGGTCAGAGCACCGAGTCTCCCGGAGAGGAGATTGGCGGGGCGGGGCCACGGGGAGAAGGGTGGGCGCAAGGGTATGGGCAGGTGGAGGGCAGGGGAGAGGCTGCAGGGCAAGGGCGGAGCTTAGTGGGCAGCAGCTGGACTGTGGGAAAGTATCCAGGCTATTTCCTTCCTGGAATGTCCACTTTGCTTTTCTTCAACTACAAAAACCCTACTTGTCCTTAAAGGCCCAGGCCAGAAGGCACCTCATCAGTGAACATTCCTCACCCTCAGTCGTACAGAAACACGCAATGGCAGCACCAGGAAGGGCCTCTGAGATCTATTAGGGGTGGCACGTTGGCAGCCTTTAGGGTGAATTGTGATACAGTTGTGCTTTGTGTGGCTAGCTCCCTGTTAAATTTAACAAACCTCCAGTCCCCACTACTCTCTGTTGTCTTACATATGACCTGGATAACTCATTTAGTTGCCTAATGGGGTCTCCCTGAGCATTTGGGTTTGCTGCCAACTCCCTTCATTTTTCAGAAGAGGCAGCCAAGACCCAGAGTAGGGGGTGTTGCTTCACCGAAGGCATTTAGCCTTCTGCCCGCATCTAATAGTTTATAAGCTCATCTCTTGTACGGTGCCATGAGCTCCCCAACTCCCACCTGCAGCTTATAGCACAGCCAGTGCCCAGCGTGGGCTTACTCAGGAGGGGACCCAGGTCCCCATGCCTACCTATGAGGCCCCTCCTCCAGGTTGGCAGCGTGGTAACTGCTCTGTGCCCTGCCCACCCGGAACCTGGGGCTTTGGTTGCAATGCCAGCTGCCAGTGTGCCCATGAGGCAGTCTGTAGCCCCCAAACTGGAGCCTGTACCTGCACCCCTGGGTGGCATGGGGCCCACTGCCAGCTGCCCTGCCCGGTGAGTGCTTGAGAGTCCTTGACAGCCTGGGGGAGGGGAGGGTATGGCATTCCCCCAGCTGATTGGCCTACCCTACTCTCCACTCCCTCTCCAAGAAGGGGCAGTTTGGTGAAGGTTGTGCCAGTCGCTGTGACTGTGCCCATGCTGATGACTGCGACCCTGTTCATGGACACTGCCAGTGCCAGGCTGGCTGGATGGGTGAGCATTCTGGGGCCCCAGGGCTACTGTGGAGTTGGGAGATGCATCCCGTAGGAAATGTGTACAAAGAGCCCCGATGGAAGAAGAGGGAAGCCAGGCCAGGCACACCCTATTGCTCTCTCCCACAGGTACCCGCTGCCACCTGCCCTGCCCTGAGGGCTCCTGGGGAGCCAACTGCAGCAATACCTGCACCTGCAAGAATGGGGGCACCTGCCTCCCTGAGACTGGCAATTGTGTGTGTGCACCTGGATTCCGAGGCCCCTCCTGCCAGAGACGTGAGGCTCCCTACTGCCCTCCCACCGCCTGCCCATAGTAGGGTGCACTGCAGTGGCAGATGCCAGAAGTCCCCCCTCTACCCCTCTTGGTCTCTTTCCCTGACCCCAATCTTCAGGCCAGTTACTACAGCGTGAAGTGGGGGGGAGATAGCAGGGGCAAGATCCGATTTGGGGTTGGCTACCGTCCCATTCATCATGCATCCCTTTCCCCCAGCTTGTCAGCCTGGCCGCTATGGCAAACGCTGTGTGCCCTGCAAGTGTGCCAACCACTCCTCCTGCCACCCCTCGGATGGGACCTGCTACTGCCTGGCTGGCTGGACAGGCCCTGACTGCTCCCAACGTACGTGGTGGTGTCTGTGTCTGAGCACATGTGCATGCTGAGAGGGCATGAGGGCTGAGGACAGGAGGTCTCTGTTCCTCGTTCTCTTGGGTAGGAAAGCCTCTCGGCCCACTTTGATTCAGTCGTGTATGTGACCAATATAAACAGATATTTACTGGGCACCACCTACATGCTGGGTACTGCCCTAGGTGCTGAGGGTGCAGCAATTAACAGGTCAAGAGAAACATTCCCTTCGAAGAGCAGTATTTTTATAGGGGGGAGGGAGAATTATTAGCTTGGTTTAGAGCATGTTCTTTTGAGTTTTTCAATATTTATTTATTTATTTCATGGGCCTCTTTCCCACAGAAATATATGAGGAAGATCATGGAAAAGATTGGTCCAAAAAGGCAAAGTAAAAGAAAATTTGAAAAGGGGAAATGAGAGGCTATTCCCATGAAACGGGCTGGATTTAAGCTCACCAGCAGGCAGGGCAAAAAGGGAAGTGATCTAAGTGAAGAGTATTTCCATACAGTTTTGGCAACAACTACTGTTAGATTATTTGTTGGTGTCAGACACACAAATGTAATGCCTTGAAAACATCAACTTCTCTCTTATGTTAAAAAAAAAAAAAAGAAAAAGTCCAGAGCTCAGCTGTGCAGGGTAATTTGGGAGCCTTTGGTCACCTGGCACTGGATGTGGTATTCTGAAACTGCCGTTAGGGAGCCCAGTGCAGATGTTGAGTAGGTAGATGGGCAGGTGGGGCTGGAGTTCACAGGAGAGAGAGGGGCATTTGTGAGTCATTGGTGTATAGATACTATTCAAAGCTTGGTGTCCCCAGGGAGACCAAAGTGACTATGGGCTCTGAGAGTTCATCTGGGAGTGGCTGGCCCTGCCCCACCAGACAGGCCCCTTGTCTCCTGTAGCATGCCCCCCAGGACACTGGGGAGCCAAGTGCGCCCAGACCTGCCAATGTCACCATGGCGGGACCTGCCACCCCCAGGATGGGAGCTGTGTCTGCCCCCCAGGCTGGACTGGACACCGCTGCTTGGAAGGTACCAACAGAAAGGGAACTCCATGCTCTTGCCCCCTCCTGAGCCCTTGTCCAAAGAGGACTGCAGTTTCCTGGACCCTCTGATCCCCGTTTGTCTCCTTGGCTGTCTCGCCAGTCTGCCCTCCAGGGGTGTTTGGTGCCAACTGCTCCCAGTCATGCCAGTGTGGTCCTGGAGAAAGGTGCCACCCAGAGACCGGGGCCTGTGTGTGTCCCCCAGGGCACAGTGGTGCGCCTTGCAGGATTGGTGAGTTCTTAGTTCCTTCCTCCCAGACTCCATCGTCCCCAGGGTATGAGGACCTAGGCCCCTCTTACGGCCCTTGCCTCCTACTGGGTGTCTCTCCTATGCACGCACCCCAGGCTCACCAGCTGAGCTGCGGCGCCATTCTGAGCGATCACCCCATCCCACATAGGAAGCCAGGAGTCCTTCACCATGATGCCTAGCTCTCCAGTGGCCTATAACTCGCTGGGTGCAGTGATTGGCATTGCGGTACTGGGGTCCCTCGTGGTGGCCCTGGTGGCCCTGTTCATTGGCTACCGTCATTGGCAAAAAGGCAAGGAGCACCAACACCTGGCAGTGGCCTACAGCAGTGGGCGACTGGATGGCTCTGAGTATGTCATGCCAGGTGAGCTGGCCTGGGCGTGAGGCACAGATGAGTGGCTGGCTCATAGGCACAAGGGCGGATGGGTGCTGGGCATGACTCCCTGGGAACATGGCAAGTGGGGAGGAGGGAGGAGAAGGGGTCAGGGAGCCACATTACTCACCTCCTGGGACAGAATCCCTCTCTTGGGCCCCTGGCCCATCTCTGAGTTCACCCTGTGCCTGTGTCTGTTGTGCAGATGTCCCTCCAAGCTACAGTCACTACTACTCCAACCCCAGCTACCACACCCTGTCACAGTGCTCCCCAAACCCCCCGCCCCCTAACAAGGTCAGTGCTGGAGTGGGGGGATGCACTGCAGAGGGACGGGTGTGGACCCGGTCCTCTGGAAAGCCCTGTCCTTGCACGTGGCTCTCCCTGTTGCACCGTCCAGGTTCCAGGCAGTCAGCTCTTTGCCAGCCTCCAGGTCCCTGAGCGGCCGGGTGGAGCCCATGGGCATGATAACCACGCCACCCTGCCTGCCGACTGGAAGCACCGCCGGGAGCCCCCCCTGGGGTCTCTGGACAGGGGTAGGTCCCTGGAGGCCAGGTCCTCCGGGGAGGCTGGGTCTGTGCGGCCCTCCTCCTCCATGTCAGCGTGCATGTCTGCACACACGGGCCCTAAGCCCCCGTTCTAGAGGACGTGGGAGCCTGGGGAGGGGACCAGAGACCTGATTGCCAGTCTCCCCCTCCTCCTCAGGTGGCAGCCGCCTGGACAGAAGCTACAGCTACAGCCACAGCAACAGTAATGGCCCAGGCTCGTTCTACCACAAAGGTGCGGGCACAGGGGCCGTAAGGGAGGGCTGAGCTGGGGTTGGGGAGCCAGTACCTCCATCGAGCCTGACCTCTTCCCTCCATCCTCAGGACCTGTCTCTGAAGAGGGGCTGGGGGCCAGCGTGGCTTCCCTGAGCAGTGAGAACCCCTACGCCACCATCCGGGATCTGCCCGGCCTGCCAGGGGGCCCCCGGGAGAGCAGCTATGTGGAGATGAAAGGCCCTCCCTCGGGGTCTCCCCGCAGGCAGCGGGACAGCCAGAGGCGGTGGCAGTCGCAGCCCCAGAGAGACAGTGGCACCTACGAGCAGCCCAGCCCGCTGATCCACGGTGAGCCCTCTCCCCCAGGCAGGGCTAGGGAGAACGGGGACGGGGAGGTAGAAAGAACGAAGGGATGGACGGAGAGAATAAGGAGGCGGCATGATGTGTCAGCAAGTCACGCTGCCTCCCAGAGCTGTTTCCTTGTCTGTAGGGCACAGTGGTGTCCCCACCTTACAGGGCTGAGGATTTGAAATGGGGGGGGTGTATAGCCCCTGAGTGGTGGAGTTGGGACCCAGAAAAGTGAGGAACCAGGCAGGTGACACAGTGACCTTATATCCTGTGAGGTGGGCAGGCTGAGGTGGCTTCCCCCACTGGCAGCTGAGGAAGTACGAGGCTTTTGCTCGGAGCCGCGCAGCCAGCTGGGTGTAAACCACCCATGTCCAGGCCCCAGGCCCTGCTTTTAGGGCTGAAGAGGCTGGAGAGGGGAGGAGAGCGGAGGGAGGGGAAGGATCCACTCCCCCTCATCCTGTCCCCTCTGTCTCCAGACCGAGACTCTGTGGGCTCGCAGTCCCCGCTGCCTCCGGGCCTGCCCCCTGGCCACTATGACTCGCCCAAGAACAGCCACATCCCTGGACACTATGACCTGCCCCCAGTGCGGCACCCCCCATCACCTCCACTTCGACGCCAGGACCGTTGAGGGGCCACGATGGTGTGGCAGAGGCCAGCACACCTGGCCCTCGCTGCCTAAGCCTGGGGACAGAGCCTGGCGTGCCCTGCCAGGAGCAGGGAGCGGACCGGCAGGCCGTGAACACGGACACATTTAACCGAGGAACTGACTGGAGAGGTGGGAGCCTGGCTCCCAGGTGTCATCATGGGAGATACTCGTCAGCAGGGTGCCTGGTTCCCTTCTCCCAACCCGCTGCTCCCCAAGGGCTCCAGGGCCCTGTGTACATAAACTGGCGGGTTGGACGTTGCTGGATAACTCTGATCTCAGATTGATTTCAAAAATGTGTATTGGGTACCTTTTCTGTGCATGCCTGAGCTGAGAGCTGTGTGTGTGTGTGTGTGTGTGTGTGTGTGTGTGTGTATGTGTGTGTGTGTGTGTGTGCGTGTCTGTGTGTGCATGCGTGCGCTTTAATTGCACTGGCCTCCAGGTCCTTCTGTCTGCCACGCTGCCTCCTACAGCAGGGACTTGCACGGCTAGAGTGCTTTTCCTCCCCCACCCACCTGTGGACGCTGGCTTGTCCTTCACATCTCCTTGTCAGGGAGCGCCCTACCTGCGTACCTCTTTCATAGTGCTCATCGCAGCGCACCCACCAGGTACCTGCAGAAGGCCTACAGGGTGCCAGGCACCTCTGTAATGTGTGTTACTTCTTTGTGTGATTATTTGGTTGCTCTCTGCTTCCCCCACTAGACTGTAAGCTCCCTGAAGGCAGGACTCCTATGTTTATGTCAATATTGGCTCCCTCTGGCACATAGTAGGCACTCAATAAACGCTCCCCAGAAGGCTAAGTGGCTGAGTGAACTAAAGTACTGGTTACACTGTGGTAAGTGCTGAGAGAGATGGTTAAACTGTGTGCTGTGGGAGTTAAGAGGCTGGAGGTTTTCCCAAAGGGTGGCATTTCCACAGGTGGGCAATACAGAGGCTCACAGGTGGGAAGGTGGCAGGGGTGGGGCGGGGATGGAGCTAAGTGGGGTGCAGAGGCTGGAGGCAGGAAGGATGACAGGAGAAGGTGTATAGGCCCACCTTGTTTTATTGTGCTTCGCTTTACTGCACCCCATTGTGCTTTGCAGATATTGCATTCTTTTTAGAAATTGAAGGTTTGCTCTGAGCAAGTCCATTGGCATCATTTTCCCAATAGCATGTGCTCACTTGTCTCTGTGTTACATTTTGGTTATTCTTGCAATATTTCAAACTTTTTCATTATTATTATATCTGTTTTTAGTGATCTGTGATCAGTGTTCTTTGATATTACTATTGTAATTGTTTTGGGTGCCATGAATTGTGCCCATATAACACAGCAGACTTAATCAATGAATGTTGTGTGTGTTCTGGCTGCTCCCCCGACTGGGTGTCCTCCCTTCTCTCTCCCTCTCCTTGGGCCTCCCTATTCCCTGAAGCACAACAATATTGAAATTAGGCCGATTAATAAACCTATAATGGCCTCTAAGTGTTCAAGTGAAAGGAAGAGTCACATGTCTCTCAGTTTAAATCAAAAACTAGAAATGAGCAAGCCAAGACAGGTTCAAAGCTAGGCCTCTCCCATCAGTTAGCCAAGTTGTAAATGCAAAGGAAAAGTTCTTAAAGGAAATTAAACATGCTACTCCAAACACAAGAATGGTAAGAAAGCAAAACAGCCTTATTGCTGATATGCAGAAAGTTCTAGTGGTCTGGATAGAAGATCAAGACAGCCACAACATTCCATTAAAAGCCAAAACCTAATCTCAGTGGCTCATGCCTGTAATCCTAGCACTCTGGGAGGCCTAGGTGGGAGGATCGCTCAAGGTCAGGAGTTCGAAACCAGCCCAAGCAAGAGCTAGATCCTGTCCCTACTAAAAAAATAGAAAGAAATTAATTGGCTAACTAAAAATATATAGAAAAAATTAGCCAGGCATGGTGGCCCATGCCTGTAGTCCCAGTTAGTTACTTGGGAGGCTAAAGCAGAAGGATTGCTTGAGCCCAGGAGTTTGAGGTTGTTGTGAGCTAGGTTGACACCACGGCACTCTAGCCCAGGCAACAGAATAAGACTCTGTCTCAAAAAGAAGAAAAAACCCCCCAAAAACCTAATCTAGACCAAGACCCTAATGCTCTTCAATTCTATGAAGGCTGAGAGAGGTGGGGAAGCAGAAGAGAAGTTCTAAGCCAGCAGAGGTTCGTTCATGAGATTTAAGGTTTGTTATGAGGTTAAGCTAAGAATAGGTTCATGAGGAAGGAAAGAACTTAAGGTTTAAGGCCACCCAAGAGCTCTGATGGTGATGGGCAAGGAGATTAATGTTATTTTCATGCCTGCTAATACAACATCCATTCCACTGTCCATGGATCAAGGAGTAATTTCTGACTTTTAAGTCTTATCTAAGTTTTCCAGAAGATCTGGCTAGGATACTTGATGGAGGTAGCTATACTAAACACAGATTTTCAATGTAGACAAAACAGCCTATACTGGAAGAAGAAGCTATCTAGGACTTCCATAGGTAGAGAGGAGAAGTCAATGTCTGGCTTCAAAGGATGGGCTGACTCTCTTGTTAGGGGCTAATGCAGCTGGTGACTTTGACTTGAAGTCAGTGCTCATTTTCCATTCCCCAAATCCTAGGGCCCTTAAGAAGTTTGCTAAATCTGCTCTGCCTGTGTTCTGTAAATAGAACAACAAAACCTGGATGACACCACATCTGTTTACAGCATGGTTTACTGAATTTTAAGCCCATTGTTGAGACCTCTTGTTCAGAAAAAAGATTTCTTCTAAAATGTTACTGCTCATTGATGATGCACCTGGTCATCCAAAGGCTCTAATGGACATGTACAAGATCAATGTTGTTTTCATGCCTGCTATCACAACATCCATTCCAAGTCCATGGATCAAGGCGTAATTTCGATTTTCAAGTCTTATTATTTAAGAAATACATTTTGTAAGGCTATAGCTGCCATAGATAGTGATTCCTCTGATGGATCTGGGCCAAATGGATTGGAAACTTGGAAAGAATTTACCATTTAGATGTCATTAAGAATATTTGTGATTCATCGAGGTCAATATATCCACACTAATAGGTGTTTGGAAGAAGTTGATTCCAATCCTCTTGGATGCCTTTGTGAGGTTCAGGACTTCAGTGGAGGAAGTAACTGCAGATGTGGTGAAATAGCAAGAAAACTAGAATTAAAAGTGGAACCTGAAGATGCGACTGAATGGCTGCAATCTCATGATAAAACTTTAATGGATGAGGAGTTGCTTCTTATGGGATGAGCAAAGAAAGTGGTTTCTTGAGATGGAATCTACTCCTGGTGAAGATACTGTGAATGTTGTTGAAATGACTAGAAAGGATTTAGAATATAAATAGTTGATAAAGCAGCGGCAGGGTTTGAGAGAATTATCTCCAGTTTTGAAAGAAGTTCTAGTGTGGGTAAATGTTATCAAACTATACCATATACTACAAAGAAATCTTCTGTGAAAGGAAGAGTCAATCAATCTGCACACTTCATTGTTGTCTTATTTTAAAAAATTGCTACAGCTACCCCAACCTTCAGCAACCAGCTGATCAGTTAGCAGCAGTCAAAATTGAGGCAAGACCCTCCACCAGCAAAAAGGTTATGACTTGATAAAGGCTCAAATGATCATTAGCATTTTTAGCAATGAAGTATTTTTAAATTAAGGTATGTACTTTTTAAAATACATAATGCTATTGCTCACTTAATAGACTACAGTATATGTAAGCATAACTTTTATATACACTGGAAAATCCAAAAATATTGTGTGACTCACTTTCTAGTGATATTCACTTTATTGCTGTGGTCTGGAACCCAACGGCAACATCTCGGAGGTATGCCTTTACTCAAATGAGGCCTAGCAGGGCAGAACTGTCCAGGTCTGGAGTAGTAGTCAAGTGATGACTTTGAATGCTAGATTTGTATGAGTGTGACTCGCCTAATCGACTCGTTAACGTATTAACTGAGTCCACAGCGCTCCAGAAAACTAAATAGATGGGGTGGAGAATGGAACCTAGCACCACACCAACTAGGGGGGATGTCTCTCCAGGCCCCTTCCGCCAGGTGCTCTCTCTTTCCAGGATAGGTGATGTGCCCTGGGGAGTGGACCTACCCCCACCTGGACTCTCCCTTCCTAGTGTCCTGCAACTGCAACGATCCTTACCATGCTCCCTCCCGCTCTCTCCCGGGTTCGATTCCGGGGTGACTTTGGATTGCCCCGCGCTTGCTCTATCCCCACCCCCTCCTCCTCTCTTGACCCGTCTGGGAGTCACTCATTTCCCTCTACCACGGCCAGGCTCAGGTGCTGGGCCGCTTTAGCCCACATCCCTTAGCGCACGCCGGCCCCCAGGGCCGCCCTTGGGCCGCCCTGGCCCCGCCCCTCCGCCCTTCTCCCTGCTCTAGCTCCGCCCTTCTCCCTGCTCTAGCTCCGCCCTTCTCCCTGCTCTAGCTCCGCCCTTCTCCCTGCTCTAGCTCCGCCCCCCGCCCCGCCTGGCTGGCTCCTCCCCACGCCCTGCTCCGGCCCCGCGACGCCCCCTGTCGGCCCCGCGTGCGCTCTGCGGTTGCCCCTTTCCCGCGGTCCCGCCCACCGCGCGCCGTTGTCTTGGAGAAAGACGCGTGCGAGACGCCGCTGCCGGCTGGTGGGATCCGGTCGGTGGACACAGAATAGAGACCGCTGATTCAGCCACCCCCGGGGAGCCCCACAGAGCCCGGTCCTTCCATCCTGCCCCCACGACGGTCCCAGAGGCGCCGCGGACAGCACCAGCATGTCGAGCGAGCCGAGCACAACGGGGTCCTCACCGAGGACCTCGCGTCCAGGGACTCAGAAGTCGTCCGGACAGATGACCAAAAAGGGAGAGCGCGCGGCCAAGGAGAAGCCGGGGGCAGTCCTGCCGCCCGTAGGCGAGGAGGAGCCCAAAAACCCTGGTACGCTGGCGGCGGGGTTGGGGGACCCGGCCCGAGGCTGCGGCTCCGCGCGTTCCCACTCTGCTACTCACGAGGGCTATGGCTTCAGCCAGACTGAGTTCCTGAATCCCGGCTCGGTAGACAATTGAATTGAACTTGATCTTAAAGAACCCGCACTGTGGTTTGGGATGCTGACAAACAATATATGATAAGATGTACAAGAGAGGAAACCCAGGGGGTGATGGGAGGACAGAGGGGGCTGCTGGGCGGTGCCTTTGAGCAGAGTTTTCATAGAGATGCTCATTCATTTATTCAACAATTACTTTTTGAATGCCTGCTCTGCACCCAGATATGGTACAGAAGATAACAAGATGGACACAGTCCTGTCCTCATGGAATTTGCATTTGCTTTGGGAAAAGAAAACAATTAGAATGTATAAGTGGGGGTGTGGTTCTTTTTGTTGCAAGTGAAAGAACCCCAACTCAAACTAATTAAGCACGAACGGGAATTTATTGGAAGATTTATTGATATAAATCTGCCAGCTTTGCCATCACTGAGGGACAGGAACTTGCTGTCCCTAGACTTGAGGTAAAACAACTTGGAAAAGGTTCTAATTGTCCAGCCTTGGCCAGGTGCTGGTGTTTGGGGGGGGCGGGGATGGGGAAGAATTATGAGAGATCAAGAAAGAGCAGCATCTTCTGGAAGGGAAGACAAGACAGTATAGAATCCTTTATATGCATGAATTCAGTTAATGTCTACGCACGTGCGCGCACACACACACACACACACACACACTACTACGGCTGCTGAAAATGGAGTGGAAGGGGGAGAGAATGGAGGGAGGGAGATTTCAATAGCCTAGTCCAGGAACAGTGGTAGCTGGGATAGGGCAGTGAGGGTGGAGAGGGGTGGA